GTGATAACACGTTTCCCCATGTAAGGCCACGTTCATACTTCGAGAACAGGCTTATATGCGAAAATGTGATGATGCGATCAAGCGATTCTATCAAATGAAGTGAGTGCATATCGATGGCTCGACTCCGCCTTAAAGCGTCACATGCGAGATAGCGTCTGGATTTCAGCGATCGCGCGAGGCGAAGATGCGATGGGGCGACCAGCGTGGAAGGATTTGATACGTGGCGACAGATAAGATTCAAGTCTATGGATGAGTCATTGATTGATTCCTGACGCGTCGCGGCGCGTGCGTCCCTTTGCGAACGTGCTACCAATCGCGTCTTCGCAAAATAGCCGATTCTCAAAGTATGAACGGGGCCTTAGAGCTAAAGTCCTGCGAGCTGGCTTGATCTCGTTAGCGTTGTTATTCCTTGCATGCGTTTATCACTCACAATTGAATTTGGGGCGGACGACAGACATATCATGTACTACGGACACTACATACTAAACTGGGAACCATCGAATAGCGGTTTATTTAATAAATCTATATTACTGTATTTCAGCGGACCGGTCACTTATTCAACATCAGACGTTTCCATATGTTCAGTCTCTGCTTGACTGCCCACCGTATTTATGCAATCAAACTCCGCACACACAGAACTTCATGATGAACACGCCATTCATTCTACCTTCAGCCTACCATCAATGATATTATCCGATGATCGCACATGGACTTTTGGAAATCCACCGCGGCCGACCTGTCGTAACTGCAGACTTTGCATCATCTCACAACATCAGATAGCATCAAGAGCTTCAATAAGTGCGCCTGTAATCGATTTCTCGAGTATCTCCTTACGCTTTAAGGCAAAGTCCGGGATCAAAGTGGTGTGTTATTGCACACGAAAGTCATAGTAAAGATGTAAAGTGTAACACTAGTAAGAAAAAGAGAACAGGCAAAAACCCATGGCCAAAAATAAAACCCTCTTTCCAGAAGCAGCTATGCGATGTAGCATTCATTTGTGGGCAGGGTCAACCGTCCGTTCGGATTATTCGAACGAGGGGATCGCATTTGTGATTTTGGGGAAGGTGGGAGCGCATTTAGGTTGAGCAAGATGAACTGCCTGTGGGAAAAGTGGGGAAAGGGGTCGCATGTTCGGGATGAAGGTCTCGTGGTTATGGAAAATATTATTTTTGACGGATTTTTCGACGATTTTGGCGGAAAAAATTATACAAAATTTTTGGATCTTCCGCTTTATTGTACCAATATACTACTCTATAGGGGGAGGCGGTCGCAAAATTTTCGGATAATTGCGAACGTGGCGGTCGAAGCTGTTTGTGGGCGGGGTGTATGGTGGTGGGCGGAGCATAAAGTCAATCCTTGGGTCTTAGCGCCTCAGCTTTGAAATCCTAGCACCAAGTGGGTACATGCATAGCGCTTGCGTGCACTCCATACATATTTCTCGCTCAAGGGCCTCATTTCGTCCCAAATCCCGGACTTTGCCTTCAATACTAATTCTGTAATTATGAAAGGTCCGGTCGTGGGGAACAGAGTATAAACTATCCAAGAATCATGAAATATCTGAAAAAATAGTAACAGCATCGGAGCAATATTGTGGCTGTATGCGGTATACCATGATGAACGGTGTATGTGTATGTGGTATAAAAATTTTATTCGACTTTTTTCATGTAGAACTAAGACCTATACTCGCAAGTATTCGCCTCCCTTCAGAGTGTTTAGACTTTGACATTGTTAATGATTTTTCTTTGACGCTTTATACTTGCTGAACGACTTTTGAAGTGGAGGGCGGGGTTGCAGAGATTTTTCTTTGATGGAGGTTTTCGGAAAGGCGAAATAACTTTTCATAGTTTGGCTTGTGAGGACAGTCGTTTCATGGACTTGGCAGTTGGTGGCAGGTGAGAAATTATCGATGTTCAGAATTTGCTCGACGCCCTGCTTTCCTGTTCCCTTCCATTACTGAATAGCGCGGTAAGAGGGTTATTGTCGACTTTGGCATTTCCCTCCAGGGCAGTACGAAATGTTAGTCAACTATTCTGTATTATCCCCAGCCCTCTCGCCCCTGAAAGAATTGCTATGTTTCTAATTATGCCTAACTGCCTTTCTGTCATTTTCTTCTCTAGAAACAGAGTACATGACAAGACGATCCATCTGCTCTGCAGTGGTATTCAGATGCCATTCACCTCAAAGCGGCAAATGGCTTGACTGATCCGGGCGCGTTTCAATCATGGAAATTATGTCCATCCACCAGCCACTGCTTCACCGCTGAACACTCCTGAAAAAGCTCCATGAACAGACATTTTGTATTGCAAATTTATTCATATGCACGAAATTATTAGGACCGTGTTTCTTTGTATAGTAATACATAGAAATTCTCTAACGGTAGAGCATCAGATCTTTGGAGAAAGCCAATAGAACTCCTGCGATGTGCTGGTGGCATTCAGTGATCGACTAAGGCGTTAGTCAGTAGATCCTATTGAACCGGCGAAACGTCGCATACTGGGCGGTCGGCTCTCAGTTTTTTACTGGTAAGAACGTAGGGTTTCGCTCAGATGTATTTGCTTTTTGTCTATCCTTAATTCAGGAAAGCAGGTTCACCCCTCTGCACATTTTTTCCGGCCATTCGAGGGTCAGTCAAGAGGCTCGTAGTGTGGCGAACCTAAAAACGCAAAGGCATTTCTGTTTATTGCGTGGAGCTATCGGCATAGCCCCATGGTTATTCTGGGCGGATGCTTTGAAACGCAGGAATGGTAATCCAGGTCGATCATATGCTCTGCAAGTGCTCATGGAGAGCTAAATTGTCTTGGAGGTTACCATCATGTTGACGCATCTACGCCAAATCGTCCCATCTATCTAGGAATACTGCGCCAAAGGGTGTACTCGGGGGGCCGTGTAACGACTCTATGAGCCTCTTGACTTGACCCTCGAATGGCAAAAAAAATGTGCAACCAAATGTGAACCTGCTTCCTTATTCAACCTAATCGGAAGAATTGCGAAAGAATTGATAAAGAAGGAAGCTACTAGTATAGGCAGAACAATGAAGATCGCACAACTTCGCCGCATGCCCTGCAGATTCGCTGCATGTGCGGCAAGCGGCTAAATTGCACGACACGGTGCGTTAAGTTCGAGCGAACCCTTATCATTTGAGGATAGTTCAAGACAAAAGTGGTGCTACTTAGTTGTGGGCGGGGGGAGAAGGGGAGACCACGCTGCGACGCGACGTCTACACCGTCGATCGCAGCTTACCAGGAAGGTCTTTCAGGGCGTGACGAGCTTTTTGAAAACGGTCTTTTGCATGATATAGGGGCAGATGCGGGACCACAGAACCATGTTTAATTTTTCCTGAACGGCCCTCTGAATACCAGAAAAGGGGGTCCCTAGTTCGATTCCTCTTGGTGACAAATTTTTGCATTTCGAGTTGACGTTCCAAAATTCGCGCAAAATGGAGTTCTGATTGTTCTGGTTGGTTCTAACTCCATTTTGCGCGAATTTTGGCACGTCAACTCGAAATGCAAAAATTTGTTACCACGAGGAATCGAACTAGGGACCTCCTTTTCTGGTATTCAGAGGGCCGTTCAGGAAAAATTGAAACATGGTTCTGTGGTCCCGCATCTGCCCCTATATCATGCAAAAGACCGTTTTCAAAAAGCTCGTCACGCCCTGAAAGACCTTCCTGGTTAGTATATGCGACTGATGATATTTGCGCACGCACACGTAGACGAGTTTCGAACTACAGTAATACGCGCGGTCAAACCTGCAAAGTGCTCGCACATGACGCGTGGGTCGCCCCTCCCTCAACTAAGTTTAAGGATCCAAAACACTAATAGTAAGAAATCATACAGCGATCCTGGTAAATTGTGAAAAATATATGGAACGAGAAATCGCAATGACCTGTATCAGATACACGTACAGAGTAGATATCACTCACTAGTGATAGCTAGGCTAGTGGTTTTAATTGCAAAATGCCTAAGGTTACAAAAACAGTATTAAGCTCGAATAGTTAAAATTATGACACAACGCGTGTGTTTCATAACGGGTAACCGGATTTCGTAGATGGTTGCAAGGACGTTCCCTCATCGTCCAAAAAACTGAGCGATTGACTGGGCGAATCTGAAACACATTAATTGAGGCATATTAAAAAAACAAGTGGGACTGCAGAATACTGCTGTTCCGGTGCG